GCTGATGAGTTGTCAAAAAGCACAAAACATCTGTTCATGATTATCTGTAAATGGTTATCTATCAATGGTCGAATTGACAAAACCAGAATGTTTAGATGGTAGCTATTCTTTGTTTTTTTATTTAACAGAGAAAATATCGATTACTCTATATCAATTAAAAGACCTTGATCAGTCTACTCAAAATTGATAACAGTTTTCTTGACGAGTGTCCAGCTTCATGCCCACATAATTATTCGTTTCAACACGCTGATGATAAGGTGCAAACACTAAGAACAGTTAACGATACGGCAGAAGGAGGTCAAGTTAATGTAAGCCTTCCATGGGTTAATCACTCTTTATGAGGAACAAAACGTTTTTATTACGTTGCGTAGAAGAACACAGGCAGGTATATCCTGACTGTAAAAAAAAACTTTGAAAAAAAATTTAGTGTTCATTTGATGATAAATATCTAAGAAATATGAGATACAAATAAAGCAGTGGCTGGGACACACTAATATATACTAAGTGACATCTAAATCCGAACACCCAGTTTAAATGGTTTTACTTTTAATAAAAGTTGGTGAATGTATTTCTCTTACTGTAATCACAAGTGAAAAAATTTTCAGCCTTATCAGTTGGACATTCCGGTTTTTATACTGCTTTTTTTTAATTCACTAACGCTCTAAAATGAATATTTCAGCCGCAGTAAAGAATCAACGTTTGCGGATTTTGGTTCTTGACATCCTTTACGATCGGTTACGATGCCTAGAGTACGGAGACCTGTACGATTTCGTCAATTAGTGAGTTTGATAGGGGCCGTATAGTGGGACTTCGGGAAGCTGGACTTTCTTTTCGGGCAATTGCAGTTAGAGTGCAAAGAAGTGTAGACACTGTGGTTAGGTGTTGTTAGGCATGGCTTCGAGAAGGCCGTACGCTTAGAGCAAGGAGCACAGGACGCCGCCGTAGAACAACAGACCGTGAAGATCGCCGCCTAAGATTATTGGCCTTGAGGGACCGTTTCTCCACTACCAGGTCCATTGCAAATGAATGGTTTGCAGAACACCTATTTTCATGCGAAGTGTTTACCGACGAATGAGAAGTTTTGGCTTGTTTTCATACCGGTCCATACTGGGTCCTCCCTTTAAACTCGAGAACACCGACGTAATCCGCCTTGAGTGGTGCAGACAAACGGTCACTCTTGGATCAGGAATGGAACAGTATTGTCTTTAGTGACGAGTCCTCGATTTTGTTTAGGCATGCACGATGGTCGTGCTAGGATTAGAAGGCGACGTGGTGAAAGGAGGAATCCACAGTTTTTTGTTGAAAGACATGTTCATCACACTGTTGGAGTTATGGTTTAGAGTGTTATAGCTTATGGTTCCAGGTCACCTTTAATCTTCATCAGAGGTAACATGAACGCGCAGCGTTATATTCACGAAGTTCTAGAACCCCATCTTTTACCCTATCTTGACACCCTGGCAGATCCAACTTTCCAACAGATAGTGCCCGACCACATGTTGCAAGAGTCACAATAGACTTCTTTCAACATAATGATGTCACATTGTTACCATGGCCACCAAGATCTCCCGACTTATCCCCATTTGAGCACGTGTGGGATATGATGGTAGGAGATTGCTCAATTTGCAAACGTCCTCCTCAGACTCTAGAAGCACTTCGAGAGGAGTTGGTGGTTGCCTGGAATGAGATACCACAGGAGGACATTGACCACCTGACAGAAGCATGTCTAGGCGCGTTGGAGAATGCGTAGCACATCAGGGTGCATCCACACATTATTAAAGGTCAAAGGGCTTTAAAGCAGTGCAATCATTTTGAAATTTTTATCATTTACTTATTATGCTTCATTAAGTACTTATACAAAATTTTATACCTATGTATATGTACATAATACTATCTATTATTCGTTCTTTCTGAAGCTTGCCCAGCATCATGCGCCTCGCTATTGGTTGAATGTCAACCTACAACTCCAGACTCTCTCTGGTAGCCAGCCATATACCACATATATAAGTAGAAGATTAGGAATACCCTCCTCTTCATTGCAATATGCGTAGTCGCGTACTCTCTCTTCCCTATCCTCTAGCTGTCAAAACAACCAAATCCTGTGAGGATCTGTGAACAGATTTTAATAGTTGGAAGCACCGTTCTAGTCCATGCAGTACCTACTGAGTTTCAGCTCACTATAGGCGTATGCACGTATACAGACTTCCATCCCTCAGGGAACTCCTCTTATCGTTAGTGATATTTTAATGTTCTTGCGTGACAAGACGTGACAACAGTATTAAGAATCGCAGTGCAATTATAGCATCGTAAAAGTGATATGCAGTAGAATAAAAAATCCGGATGAAAAAACTGGTAAGGAGATTATTATATTAAGGATTCCAATGTGGTAAAAAACCTCAAAACGACGACAGGCAACGAAGCATGTTGTCAAGTATTTGGA